ATCAGTTTGATCAGTTTGGTCCTCCACCTCCAACCTATCAACAGAATACACATATTGCACAAGCATCAGCAGCTCCTACAGCCTCAGCTTTTCAGCCAATCGGAGATGCCTTCCTGCTGAGGCTACCCAGGACATCATTCTTATGGATGCTGAGTCAGCAAGGATCACATGTGACGTCCTATAAACTAGCCCAGGCCTATTTGGAGGTGCAACCCTTAGATTCCCGAGAAGAGAAATTCCAAATGGTTAAGTTGGAAGTAACCATCTTCATAGAAGAAACACCTGTACAGACTACAGGATCTACCGTATCAGTGATGTCACTATCCTTCCACGAAATTTGTTTAAGCCACATTCCACTCTTCCCACTTGATGATATAGTAAACATAGAATGTGCAGGAGGAGAGCAATTACCATACATTTGATATGTACAGGTCAGAATCAAGACTACAGGCCGCGGCAATGACAGAAAAAGAGCCTAACATGTTAAGTGATGGACACGAGGTATATTGGAAGAGTGCCGGGACTTTTTGGAATCTACATACTTTCAAGACTCCTTGACAACTGCCGAGATGCAGTTGGTGTTCAGTTCAACTTCAGTTGGACGTATATGACGACACACCATTCAAACAGTGACATCGTAGGATCCCTCAAGCCATGTATGAAGAAGTTGGGATGCACCTTCAGGAACTTATATCAGTTGGAGTCATTGAAAGGTCTTAGAGCCAATGTGGCTTTAATGTTGTGTTAACAAAGACGAAATGAGGAAGTGTATTGACTATCCTGTGCTGAATCTTCAGACCATCAACGATTCCTTCTTGGCGAAAATACTGTTTTCTCTGTGTTGGATATGAAGAGTGGTTATCAGCAAGTGGAAGTCAAAGACGAACACAAGCAAAGAACAGCCTTCATAGTCAGACCAATGGGATTTAACAGAATGCCATTCCAATTTTTCAAAGCACCTGCAACTTACCAGCATCTAATGGAAAAATGGCTTGATGGACAGCCATCAAATATTTGCTTGATTTATCTTTATCTTGGTGACTTGAGTTTTTCAAATGGTAAGTCTGAAACATCAGATACATTGTTTCAGCAGACGGCATCGAATCTGACCCTGAGAAAGTGCACAAGATTACAGAGTGGCCTTCCAATCCAGAAGAGGTCCAGAAAATTCTTGGTTTTGCTGGCTGTTATGGGAAATTTGTCGAGAACTTCTCGAAGATTGCCAGACCACTGTGAGAACTGATGCCAAAGTCAGCATCAAAGAAGTCCAAATCTGAGCAGCATTCCAACAGCATCGACTTGAAGTGGGGCGAAGAACAGCAAAGGGCTTTTCAGGAACAAAAGACTCGCTTGTCAACACTACCAGTGCTTGGTTATATTGATTTTTCCAAACCCTTTGAGCCCCCACATTGATGCCAGTATTTGGGGATTAGGAGCAGTGCTATACCAGGAGTAGGATGGGCAACTGCGAGTGATTGCCTGTGCAAGCAGGGGTTTGAACAAATCTGCGAGAAACTACTCTGCTCCTAAACTGAAGCTTCTGTGTTTGAATAGGGCAATCTCAGAGAAGTTCAACGACTACTTGTATGAGTTTGCAGTTGGCACAGAAAACAATCCCCTCATTTATGTTTTAACCGCTGATGCTACTGGTCATCGAAGGTTGGCAGCACTCTCTGCATATATTATTTATCATTAGGTACAAACCAGGGATGCTCAACATTGATGCTGAAGTTCTGTCAAGGCTGCCAGACAGGTTACTAATAGAGGAATTATCCACTGTGAAGCCATCTGCAACGTCATCCAAGTTCCTAACTTTGTGGAAAGTATATGCTTGTCAACACAAGTCATAGATGAGGATGATATCGACATACACGAGGGGAAGTGTGATGTCAAACCCCAAGGACTGGAGAAGATCACAGCTGAGAGATCCATCCCTGGCTACCATTATTGACCACTTGGAATGTAGCATCAGACCAGGCAGAAATCAATACACTGGAGACAGTCATATGACATCCCTCATCAAGAACTTTCCACTGACGCAGCTGCACAGAGGAGTACTTCATATAACACAACCAAGACAGCTGCAACTTGTCTTATCTAGTATATGTGGAGGTGCAGTGCTGCGCAGACAATGTTGTTCATCCAGGCAGAGACAGAACAGTTTCTCTCTTAAGGGAAAGGTTCTAATGACCAAAGATGTTGAAGTGGATGTGCAGTCCTGTGATCCGTGCACCTCCAGTGAATTTTACAACATCACAACCACATGAACTTGTTTGCATGGACATCCTTGTTGTCAACACCTTACCTATGTTATCCCACTCATATATGCAATTGTTGTAACTGTTAATCGTCTACTGTTAATCCTCCCCCAACTATATATATTCTGTACTAAGTCCCTCATTCAGTCTTGCTTGACAACGGTAGAAGGATCTATACCAAAACGTCGCTTTTTACAGTATAAAAGAAGTTGTTATCCATAAAATTGTGTCTACCTTGTCTACAAGTGTTGCGAGGATAAAGAACCCAAGACCCACCAACCATGGTGTCACTCGAAAATAGCCGCTTTGTCAGCTAGCCAAAGTTTGAGCTTAAATTGTTTGTTTGTTGTTTAATGACGGACTCAGCAATATGCCAGCTATATGACGGGTAGAGGTACTATCATTGAGAGAACAGTCGACTGCAGAAATCACCATTTTGCAGCTACAAGCAGGCGTGGCCAAGCGACTCCAAAAGGGGCAGTAGAGGGCCCTTGACGACCGCCTTGTTGTGTTGAGGACATGCCTCCCCAATAACACTTTTTCATCTAAACGTTATAAAGACGAAGTTGGTTGTCCTGAACATCTTAAGCAACTTATGGGATAAATAAACAATGGAATAAATATTTAAGAATTGACATCTTTTGCGTGTTTAGATGTATACACTTAAACACCTATGTGCGATTGCTTTATAAATAAACATATTTTAACTGTAACAACTTCACAGACTGGTATTTATCATTGAAACACAAACAACTGTAGACAACGATACAGAATCAGTGACATCTTCAGCGCAATAATGCTACATTAGCCCGAATCTTGTTATTTTCAAATCAATCATGAAAAAGTAGTTTGTAAGAGGGCAGGAGCTTAATTTCTTTCTGTTTATAAACAATTGCTTGGTTAGCCATTCCAAAGTCACGGAATCACTTAAAACTTATTTTTCATGGTGTATGCGTGTGCATATGATATATACAATTAGTACCAAACTTTACTTGAAGATATGTACTATGTGTTATAATTCTAGTGCTACATTTTATGTATGTGTAGCCAAATTAGGCAATGCAATAAAATATACAGATAGAGTGATGTAACAGGTAAATGTATATTAACTATGTTAAATTATTACTCAAAGTAATCACCATTTAGATGTTAGTATGTTTTGACACATAATGTGTTTTCACATCTACAAAAAAACAATAGTACCATACCAAGATTGTGTTATAGTGTCTTTTTAGAAGACCAATACAATTCAACGTTTCTATAGCCAGTCAACAAATTAATATTTCAGTTTCTTAACTGACTTACGAAGAATCACCAAACTGCAGCCACGTCTACATGAAGTCGCAGCTACAAGGAAAAGAAGTGATATTATGTTTACAGTGTCAGCTGTTGTTCAATCTTAATATCATCCAGTCGTATGGTATGTACTTAGGCAAAAAGGCCTATATTTCACTCTGTACAATAATCAAAAGAAAGAAAGCACTTAATTCCAGGTGCTACATGCACTATCCTTAATATATAATTAAGTCAAGGAAACACGAGCTGACTTAGATGTCACTTGCAGAGTTCAAACATTAATGAAAGTCAAGCTACCCGAGTATAGCTGGGATATTGCAAAAAAACAAAACAACCAAAAACAAACTCCAGAGTGTTGGCTCATCTTCAAGTGCTAGCTCCTCCCCTATTTTGGATGGTTATATTGTGATGGTATTATTCCATCTTACATTTGATATAACAGGAGATAACATACTGGATGACTTTGATATATATAACAACACTTACTCTTTTGGTTTGGCAAATTTGTACGAGATGAGATGATGGGAAACTATTGTTTTGATTTTGTCCTGATAATATGATGCTCAAGTGTTATCTAATTGAAGAGACTGCGACGATTGTGGACGCAGCTGAGTTGTACTGGAGAATCTCACTTATATTTTAGTTTAATTATAATGACCTTTAAGTGCTGCGCATTTTCGTGTGCAGCATATGAATACTTGATGATACGATGTTTCTTTATATATCATCACTTGCTTAAAGTTGTAACATTAATAGAACGTGTAATTTACCTGTGTCCTGAAGTGATAGGCATTTAAGAAACTAGTGTGTTTGTCAATGGCTATATCATAGGCCATGCAAGAGTTGAATATATCTGACATGAATGAGGTACTTGAGCAGATACAAATAAATACAGTTTCAGCCATGTACAAGTTGGTTGGTTGGTTGGTTGTTTAACGCTGTACGCAGCAATATTCCAGCTATATGACGGCCGTCTTTAAATAATTGAGTCTGGACCAGACAATCCAGTGACTGATGTCATGAGCATCGGTCCACTCTATTCGGATCGATGACATGCATCAACCAAGTCAGCGAGCCAGACCACCCGATCCCGTTAGTCGCCTTTTACGACAAACATAGTCGCCTGTTACGGCAAGCATAGGTTGCTGAAGACCTATTCTACCCCGGATCTTCACGGGTCCATGTACAAGTACAAAACCATGTTTTTATATAAGCCATTGATTAAATGTATTATAAACGTATGGCAACATGTCAACGAAGTTGTAGGGTAAGCTCTTATTTTGTTCTTTCTTTCTTTTTCAATACAAGAGACATGCATGCTTAAACATGCAAGTCTGGTTGTTGTATACAAACTGCACACAATACCAGCTATTCTTTATTGTCTGAACAGAGGTTGTGTTGCCAACAACAAACAAGCCAGCACCCGGGCTCAGTTACAACACAACAGTTGCAGTTGTGTTGCAGACTCGCTTGGAAGTGGTTGTGATTTGACTTTGTCGACACACAGGTATGTTGAAATCAAGTCAGTTAGCATCAGCTTCAGTTGTATGCCGTCATAGTTTTTTTTTCTTTTTTGTGACAATTTTAAAGTTGACATCGGTTGTGCTTGCTTTCATTCAGAATATGTGTTATTTTATAAGAAGATGTTACGTCACTCTTTTGTACAAACTTGTGACGTAAGGTATTTCATTACAGAGGGAGGCAAATGCGAAAAGGATGGCGGAGTTAAAAAGTCCTACATCTGAGCAGCCCAAATCGAAAGTCTCATTTGAGGGTACTTTTTCTGAAGTTGTTTATATTTGCCTTTTAGTTGTCCGAGTGTAAATTAATATGAACTGTTGCGTGAAGATAAGTGGATGTATGAATCGGGCTCAACTCTTGTTTCAACAGATTTTCATTCATATCAGCTTAATGTAAGAGGCAAACCAGAAAAAAATGATGCAGGTCCTCGGCGTTTACCACTACGAACCTATGCGGTCCTTATAAACAGGGAGTCACAAATTATCCACGAATCCTGGCACGTCTGAAGGAGGCCCCTTAACACACCAAACACTGCCGCTACATTACAAAAAAGAGGGACCATTTTATCACATATTAGATTTTCGTAAAGATACGAACATGTGCAAATAAATGTACATGTATACTCACAATATTTCCGGTTTTATGATTGTATGACTGCTTCGTTTGAGATATCACGAATACTGTTAACTGTACATGGCAAGGTTGCCATTCATATTAGTTGAGTTCATTAGTCAGCCAGAAGAATAATTGCAGGTGTTATGTTTGATTCATTAATACAACATTTTCACTCTTGTCCCACAGTTACCATGGATAATGATGAATTCGAAATCAAATACAAAGACATCCCCACAAGGGCTCACATCTCAAGATGGAACTGTGAGGTTGTTCCTGCGACATTTGACCTCCGAATTCACAGAGAACTGTACACGATTAGGGGGTTACCAAAAACATTTGCTGACTGCCTCAATGTTACCCTTACAAGTATACGGAACAGGAAACAGTGTTTGATATTTGCATTCGGACATGACACTCTTGTCGATGCTGTTGAGATGGTCAATAAGTTCGTGGAAGTTAAGGAAACACTTTTAAAGTTCATTCGCGAGAATTATTCAAAAGTGAAAGACATGAGTTTGAGGTGCTGGGTAGGAGAGCAGAATAGATCCTCAGAGCAGGACGTCAAGAATATAGGTACTTTATCTTGTGAATATAACTGAAGAAACATTGTACATGTCACTAAGAGTTGGTACATCTCTCGCGTGTGAAAACAAAAGAAGAAAAACAAAAAAATACTTAGTGCACATAACCCCATAGATAATACGAACAAGATTAAGAGTGCATGGACTAAATAATATGGATAGGAACATTCCCTACTGTCGATAAGTTTTCATTATCTGCATTTGGCACATATCTGAGATTCAGACTAGATAACAAGTTCAACTCATCCGCTGGCTTTACAGCTCTTCCTGATCTAGTGACATAGTGCTTAATGTTTGAGACTTCTGTCTTTGCTGGACTTACTGGCTGACTTTATTATTATTATCACTGCTTTCTTGATACGGACTGTTAGCCTTGTTCTGACACTACTGCTACTAATACACTGAAACTGGCACATGAAACATGTAGTTGTGAAACTGAAGATTTGGTGTCTTTTGAGGTTTTGTGTTTCTGAGTTGTTGTCTATTTCTCTGGTACTTGGTGCCAGCTTCTTCAGTGATCTCGAAAGTTCTGCTGTCAACTAACAACTGATGGCTTCCATTCATTGTTACCTGTGTTGACTGGTTGCATTCTCACTTGTTCTCCTATTGTCAGTGGCTTTAGTTATCCGCCGACATCCTTTCTGAAAGATTCCATTGCTTTCCGCCTGTCAATAACATACTTTTGGCTGCTGGATACAGAGAACCTTCCTTCAGCAGTTGGTGACATGGTTTTAGTTTGCTTCTGTACACGACCAGTTTCAAAGCCTTCAGTTGGAGTATTTTGCTGGTTAAGCATACCAATGCAGGGGGCCTCTTTACATGCCTTGCGTTTCTTTATCACGATTTTTACCCGTTTTTACAGCTGCTTCTCTGCCATTCGATTTGCTAGTGCCAGGGCAGGACTTGTCGTGTGTGAATCCCCACTTTTGAGCAAAACGTCTGAACTGTGGGCGACCATCTGGTATGAAGGTGACTTGACATCTGTATCTGGCAAAGTGGGTCTTGAGTTTGTTTGTAACCTCGGATTCTGTGACCTCACTAAGGTAGACAACTTCACACAATCTACAGTAATCATGTGGTTGTAACCTTGAGGTCAGAAGAGGCACAGCCTACTGTCTCCCATGGTCTTTTTGGGGTTTAACGGAGACGTACAGACTCTGGATTATGTTTGTTGCTGTCTGTCGAACAAACAACATAAGAGTTGATGTGTGGTCTGATGTCTGATGATGTCATATGAGTGTCCAAGAGATGCTCTCCCAAGACAGGAGTTGACACCTGGATGTCCTGCATGAACTTTTACCTTCATTTCCTGATGCATAGATGTAGAAAAAAACACTCTTTCTCCACGCAAGATGTTGCTATCTTGTACAGTGAGCTCATCACGAAATGGATAATAATAGTATAACTGAAACACTGTAACACTGCCTAGTCACCTTTCATTATTGTGTCCATTAGCTGAATGAGTGTTGTGTCCTGTTGTTTCTTGTTGTGTTGCACACTGGATACTGTCCAACTGGTTGGATTTGATTGCACAGAATGTCACATTGTCCACTTCAGTGTATTCTGCTGTTGAACTCGGGTCAGTCTAGAAGTGTACTTCACCATTAAATTTATCTATCTCTATAAATCCCACAATGGGTTGTACATTTCATCAAATCTAGACTGGCTTGATGATACAGCTGCAACTTCCATGTTGTCTCTCCTGACATGAATCAGTTTCATGGCCACTGCAGTTTCAATACCAAGTAATGGCATGAAGTATTTTAATAAGTTGATTGAGTGAACTGCTTCCTTCTTTAGATTGAGTACAGCTGCTTGATAGGTACCTAAAAGAGTGATCACTCGATTGCTGTCTTATTCCACATGAGCAATACGCGATCTTTAGTTTTCCGAGTAAAATCTGTCAGCTTCCTCTGAGGGATAATATTGGAGGTTGCTCCCTCCCGAGTCAACAAGAAATACTACTGCTATGTTCTCCACTATCATTCTGCATTTGTTAGGTTCGTTGGTTTAATGCTCATCACTATGGGTCATTTCCACTGTGCAGATCCTGTCGTCATTTTCAGTGTCAGCTCTTCTTCAACAGCATTCACTGTCACTGACTTTTGACATTTCACTAGATAGTAATTAACGTCTACCACATTTGATATGCATTTTCACCTATGTCGGGCAAACACTTTTCTTCATTTGATGTGTTTCTCTACAAAAATTGCAATCAGCAACCTTTGGTTTATCAGTTGACTGACTGTGTTTTTTTTCATGTTTATCAAATTTCTGCTTGTATGCCCTACTTGCAACATTTACTACATCTGCGTCAGATCTGTATGCATAAAAAAACTGCGTGTTTGCGTTCTCTGCATCTTTGAAAGTGTCAATACATCTCTCAATGTTAAGGTTTCTCTCACTCTGTAATAACTGTTGTGTTGACTGGTCACGAATACCTAAAACAATTCTGTCTCTGAGTTTAGATGGAAGATATATGGGACAATAGTGGCATGTCTCAATTTGTGATCTCAGATTGGCATGAAATGTCTCAAATGTGTCACCTTTATCTTGCACTGTGCTGTAAAACCTATATCTTTCAAAGGTTTTATTTTTTCTCAAAGATTTCGTTCATAGTTCTTGTGTTTTCATCACTAAGTCTGTCTTGTAAACTCAAAACTGTTGTAGGAGTTTAGTACTCCATCGCCAAGAGGGCTGAATAGAATGGCCACTTGATAGTAAGGACTATAGGAAGATATCTTCACAAGCAATTCATAATTTCTCCATTTCTGCTTGAATAACTTCCAGTTATCAACAGCACTGTCACCTAATAGAAGGGGATGAGGTGGTTTTACACGCGATAATAATTTTAATAGCACTGGTTTAAATGTCACCCATTTTCACCATTTCCATGGTCCACTCTCGTTCATGAATAACACTGATACAAGACATGGCAATGACAGTATTGTATACATGTAATGCACGTAACAGTGTGTGTAACTGTAGCTGTAACGGCCAGAACCAGCAATAAAACACGTGGTTCAGGTCAGTGTACGTTTATTTTCCAAACTTGTCTTGCACTAGACATGCATTCTCTCAAACCATCAATTATGTCATCCAATCGTAAGGCATCATCACTTTGTTTTCAAGGCAGTTACAACAACCTGCAACCTAAGTGATGTTGTTAAACCGGAAGTGCTTATGGTTTAGTTATTGAGGCAGCTAGAGTGATTGAACTTTCTGTTCCAAAGTTTTTGCACTGGGCATGTATTTGCCTAAATGTAGAACGGATGTTGTGAAACCGGACCTACTTGTAACTTTGTTATTCAGTCAGTGAAAGGCTTAAGACTTTCTGTTTCAATGTTGTAATGTATTAGGCGGGGTTGATGCAATTAAACTAGAGCTGAGCTACAATCTGTAAAATGGAAGCATAGGACTAAACGGTGCTGCATTACACAACCTCCTGGATCAAATATGAACACATAATTATTCGAGCATGTGTTTCATACTGAATTTGAAGTGTTGGGAATCTTGTATTTCCCGATCGAGAGAGATTGAAATACATGAATTCTTACACGAGCGTCATGAAATCAGTACGTGCATATGCCAATGTGATAAATTCCTTATTACCCAATATTTTTTATCCTTTTGATGAGTTCCTAATTTCGAAACATGCACTGTTCACGACCGTCGTCGATTTCATTATTTTTAATATCCATGATATCAGAGTATAGATTGTAGTAACACACAACTAATTATTGTTGACAGGTATGATAGAAATCTTTGTCAACTGTCTGTGAACAGAACCTATATGCGTTGATTATTTTCAGTTTCATTTCCATTTATCACCAGCACTCAACACGAATATTACTAAAGCGAGATATAATTCCCTTTCACCGCCTCTGATGTCAAATGTTTTGAAAATTTACTGACAAAATAGAATCATCATAGTAATAAAATAGGAAGAGTCAATATATGAATGAAACTCCTCAGTTTGGGGTAGTAAGTTTCCATTAAAATGTATCCGTTTTGATACACTAAATGTTGTAAAGGTCACTTTTAGACAGATGGTTTTTTATATTTTTCTTTGAAGGTGAAACGAGAAACAAGAGCGAGTCGGTATTGTTTTTGGCACCTGGTAAAAGTGATGGATATAAATCAGAAACACACTGGTTTTGCAAACTTGGTCAAGATGAATTTGAAATGGACCTGACATCATCAAACGCAACATTTACCAGCTTAAAGCATATGCTTGAAGATACATATCGTTGTATATTGAAACGCGTGCGGCGAGGAAGCTTCATATTTGAATGCAAGCATGAGTCCCGGGAGAATGCTGTCAAGATGATGAAGGATCATGCGAAGGTCAAGGACACGATCTTACGATGTCTTCACGACATGGATCCTCGTGTCAATGCCATCAGGGTAGATGTCGAATATAGAGAAGATCACGTGGAAATTGGTAAGTCATCCGGTCTTACAAGATAATCATACAGCAAGTTGCATGCACGTGTGTTTGTGTATGCAGTTGTGCATGATTATATATGAGTATGTGTATTGGTCGGTGTATATACGTTTGGAGTACGAGATGGTGAAACTGGAGGCGATTAACCGTGTGATGTTGTCTATGGAGAGGGAAGCGTCTAACTAGTCAATGCGGGTCTGTAACTTGCTTTGTAGAATTTGGACGGCTGCTTGCTTGAGTTATGTTGGTGTAGAGGTCAACTACATCTCAGCTGACCATGCGACCTATGAGCTTAGCTTCCTTATGTTTCGGGCAAAGGTACTGGAATTGCTGATGTATGATATTCCTCCTTTCCCCGACGGTGCTGGTACTTTGGCAAGGTGCCGGTCTGTGTTGTAGAACACTGAGTCTCTGGAACACACAAGTATTCTGGATTTTGACAGTGGCTCTGGCATAAGGTGGCTGCGAGTTTATGGGGTTCAGTTTGTTAAATACAGTGTTATTTATTTCTTGGAGTTCTTGGATGGTGTACTTGTTCATGTGTTGCCTTTCCAATTTAGCTGTTGTGACTTTTTTTGAGAATTTTGTAGGTATTGGTGTCTTCTACAGATTTGCTAACCAGCTGTATTAATTCGGGTGTATCCAAGGTGACATCAGCTTTACCCTTGTCAGTCTCTGGGATGGTGATGATCTTATGGTACTTAAATTCTGTGATGGCAGAACTTCACAATAAATGACACTGCATTCAACAACCTGAACCCAATAAACTAACCATTTTAAATATATAAAAAATAAAGTTTTAAAGACATAGTGAAGTCCAGCATTTCTATTTTAAAAACGAGCTTGAATAATAAGAGGGAGACATTAGTGCTTACGACTATAAGTTACCTACGCATCAGTGACAATTGGAGTCAGTCTGACAGAATGTGGCTTGACGCCACTTGTACCCACAGACATTCTACTCAATGACCACAATCAACCTTCTCCCCTTAACGTTGACAACTGGTGTCGTAACAGATTTACAGTGATCGGGGAGGTTGGGCTGCTGTCATGCTACTGATGAATGAGTGGGGTCGGATGTTGTCATCTTGCTGGTGAACGTGTCGGGTCGGCTGCGGTCATGTTACTGATGAACGGGGAGGCTGGGCTGCTGTAATGCTGCTGATGAACAGGGAGGCTGGGCTGCTGTCATGTTGCTGATGATCGGGTCGGGTCATCTGCTCTCATGCTTCTGATGAACGGGTCGGGTCGGCTGCGGTCATCTTGCTGATGAACGGGTCGCCTCGGCTTCTGTCATGTGATTGATGAACGGGTCGGGTCGGCTGCGGTAATGTTGCTGATGAACGTGTCCGGACGTCTGCTGTCATGTTGCTGATGATCGGGTAGGCTTGGCTGCTCTCATAATGCTGATGATCGGGTCGAGTTGGCTGCTGTCATGTTGCTGATGAACCGGTCGCCTCGCCTGCTGCCATGCTGTTGATGAACTGGTCGAGTCGGATGCTGTCATTTTGCTGACAATCGGGGAGGGTGGAGTGCTGTCATGTTGCTGAGAATGGGTTTGGTTGGCTGCTGTCATGTTACTGATGAACGGGTCGGGTCGGATGCTGTCATGTTGTTGATGAACGGGTCGGGTTGCTGATGATCGGGGAGGCTCAGCTGTTGTCATTTTGCTGAGGAACGGGTCGAAGGCTGTCATGTTGCTGATGATGGAGTAGGCTGTTGTTATGTTGCTGCTGAACGGGGAGGCTGAGCTGCTGTCATGTTGCTGATGAACGTGTCTAGACGTCTGCCGTCATGTTGGTGATGAGCGTCTTGGTTGCTGTCATGTTGCTGTTGGTCGGAAAGGCTGGATGTCTTAACGAGTATTTAAACCTCTACGTACATTAGATGAGGCCATTAATACATTTTGCCTGAATAGGATGGTTTTCTTGAAATTTCTATTGTAATTACTCTTCCTATTTCAGTCTATTTCCTGAAGTTCTGTTCCTATTGATTATTCTGATTCCGTCCTAGTATCGGCAAGGGTGGTTACTGGAATTTTACAGTCAGTTAAGATGTTCGGCTTTGAGCCCTAATAAAACCGATGATTATAATAGTGTTGTCGGCCATTCTGGCTTGGAGCCCTATTTAACCCATTCTTATAAGATATATGTAATACCCGACCTGTGTAAGACACATTCCTTGATATTTTCATAACTTGTTAAAAGGCGTAGAAACACAAAACATATTGTTTCCCCGAGATGAACAGAACACTATTCATATTGGTTGTATTTTAGATCCTCCGCAGTTGCTTGAAACTGGTTACCAAGCCAAGGGATACGTGAATAAAGAGGTAAACACGTGATTATCAGGAATCATATGAATGGCATACTGCCAGCAAGTAAATTGTATACTAGTATGTGAGCCTTTAAGTCTCAAACACTAACACACACGCACACAGACTCTCTCACACACACACACGCACACGCACAGACACGCACACACGCACGCACACACACACACCATTATAACAGAATGTTAATTAGTCGGTTTCTGATGTTTTAGGTATTAAGGTATCTTATATTTAAGTTTGCAGTGTAAAATAAAACGAAATTGCATTCGAAAATACGAATATTTGATTTACATGTTGGAATTATTATACAGGACAGAAACGGGGTACTTATCGAAATACGTTTGAATTTCTTAGGAATTTGACCGGATTGTAGCAGCCCTGCAGCAAAAGCAGTCGGAACAATTGGAAAAACTGCACGAGCTCCAACAAGCACAACTGGCAGGTATGTGTTGAACATCATGTGTTTGGAACATTAAAACTGTATTTGTAATTATAACGACCTGATAGACACAATTGTATGGATAACAACTTTTTAATACTGTGAAAAGCGACGTTTCGGTATAGATCCTTATACCGTTGACAAGCAAGACTGAATGGGGGTACTTACTTACTTACTTACTTTGGAGATTTAACGTGCGCTTTCCGACTGATGCGTATTTCGCACACGGACCCGGCCAGGCCATTTAATGTGTTTCCGAAAGGGGCGAAGGTGGTCTGTGCAACCCAAGAGGGGGCTTTAGGGGTTGTTTATATATAATTTGGGAATTTTGAGATTTGGAATAGATGCCGCTGGGGTTGGGGAGGAGAACTAAGGGAGCTGGGTATGGTGGATGTTTGTTTGTTTATGTGATTTTGATTTGGCAGGTTATTATGTTTTTAGATGCGTTTTATTAGTTCCGTTTTGATTAAGAATACGCCTAAGGCCTTGAAGTTTTCTAGTTTATTTTGTGGGTTTAGTATTACTTCTAGAGTGAGAGCCTTGTTTAGATTGAGGGTGGTTTGTAATGCGGTTCGATGTGTGAGGTAGTGTGTGCAGTGGATGAGTGCGTGTTCTGGGGTTTCTAGTTGTTTGCAGTGTGGGCAGTTACCTGTAGTGTGTTTTTTTTATTTTTGTTAGGTGGTTATTTAGGTTGGTGTGTCCTGTTTGGAGTTTAGTGATTACTCTGTCGATTTTTTTTTTATGGATTGAGAATTTTTGGTTTGGTTAGTGGTTTGCCGAGCACTTTTTTGATTTGGCTATTTGAGTTTAGATATAGGTTATGCCATTTTATTGTGATTTTTTGCTTGTTTACACTTTTAATTTCTGATTTTGAGATGTGTAAGTTTAAACTTATTTCTGGGATTTTGAGGGATAGTTTAGCTGCTTTATCGGCGTTTTCATTACCGTATATTCCTACGTGGGCGGGTATCCACAAGAAGGTTATTTGTTTGCCTGCCTTAGTTAGGTCGTTGGAGCTTTTAAGTATTTGATTTATTAATTTAGGTCGGTTTTTGGTATTTTTGTTTTGGAGGGCCTGCAGTCCACTTAGGGAGTCGGTAAGTATTAGGATTTTTTTGTGGTTTTTGGATTCTTGATTATGGAGGGCTGAGGCCATACCCATTAGTTCTGCCGTGAATATTGATTGGTTATTTGGGAGTCGGAAGGATTGTGTGGTTTTAGTTGGTTGTGTGGTATGGACTCCGAAACCCGTGTGTTTGGAGGTCGGATCTGAGGATCCGTCCGTGTAAATGTGACACCAATTTGGCCAATTTTCGTGTATGTATGCTAGTGTGGTAGTTTTAGCTATGTTTGGGTCGGTTTGTTTATTTATTTGGCTAGCTAGTGTTGTGTCTATTTTGGGTATTTTAAGTTTAGGGGTGAATATATTTGATTGTTTGCAGTTTTGTTTAAGATTTGTAATTTGGTGTTCATTTAGGTAGTTTGTTATACTTTGGGATATTGGGGTAAGTAAGGGGTGTTTACGAGCTAGAGCTTGGTTTTTAGGGCTGATGTTTTGGTTTATTAAGTTTTGGATGAGAGGGTTTGATTGGGACGAGGCCCAGAAACTTAAGCTTAGCTGTTCCCTGCGTAGACTTAGCGGCATTTCTCCTGTTAAAGCCTGAAGTGAGGTGTAGGAGGTGCCATGTTGGGTGCGTGTAATTAGTTTGAGAGCCTGATATTGTATTGAGTCAAGTTTTTGAGATAGAGAGTTGTTTAGGGTGTTGTATATGGCACAGCCGTAGTCTAGTTTTGATCTAATTAGTGATATGTAGAGAGAGAGGAGAGTATCTTTGGAGGCTCCCCAGTTAGAGCCAGTTAGGCATCTTAGGGTGTTTAGGTCTTTACTGCATTTAGTTGTTAGGTTTTGTATGTGAGCATCCCAGGTGAGATGTTCATCGAAAATAAGTCCTAAGAATTTGGTTTGTTTTTGAAATTTGATTGTTTGATTGTTTAGCTGGAGGATTGGGGAGGCGGGTTTCATGTTTTTATGTTTGAATACTATTCCTGTTTTTTTTCTGAGTTAAGGGAGAAGCCCCATTTGTCAGCCCATTGTTGTATTTTATTAAGAGATTTTTGGAGTAAATTTTTGGCCATGTTCATGCTTTTAGTGCGGATCCAGATGGCTCCATCATCTGCGAATTTTGATGTGTTTACTTTAGGGGATAGGTCCTCGAATAGATCGTTTATCATTATATTGAAGAGGGTGGGGCTGAGGATACTGCCCTGTGGAGCGCCATTTTCTAGGGGACATTGGTCCGATAGAGTTTGGTCTATACCCACGGTTATTTTATGATTGTTTAGGAAGTCCTGGATGTAGTTTATTATCTGACCTTTGAGTCCTATTTTTTTAAGTTTTTGTATTAGCCCATGGTGCCATACCATGTCGAAAGCTTTAGAGAAGTCTAAGAAGATGCCTGTGGTATATTGTTTATTTAGTTGTCCTGTCTTAATATCTTGTTCTAGTCGGGCGAGGTTATCTAGGGTTGGGCGGCCAGGAGTGAAACCGCTTTGATCTGGGTTTATGATGTTATTTTGGGTTAAGAAATGTTGTAATCTATTTTTAGCCATTGATTCCATTACTTTACATAAGTTTGAAGTTAGGGATATTGGTCTATATGAGTTAGCTTGATTAGCTGGTTTATTAGGTTTAGGGATTGGTATGACTAGGGCCTGTTTCCAGGGAGTAGGAACCTGTCCGTTTAGGTAGATGAGATTGTATAGTTTGAGTAGTGCCTTGAGTAGATTTAGGGGGATTTTTTTTAATTATTTGGTGAGAAGTTAGGTCTAATCCTGGGGCTGTGCCCTTTTTCCTGTTTTGGATTACGTAGAGGAGCTCCTCCATTGTGTAGGGTTGATTTATTTCTAGATTGTTATTGTTTGGTTCTTTTGTGGGTTTGTTTTCTGTTTTAAGTTTATCTTGGAATTTTTTACTGAAGTTGGTGTTACTGCTAACGGCCGAAAAGTGGTTGGCGAGATTATTTGCTTTTTTTGGCGGGGTTGGTTGAGTTGTTAATGTTAGGTTTTTTTTATGTCGTTTTAAGCCTCTAATGGCGCGGATTTTGCGCCAGACCGTTCTGGCATCTGTACGGTTATTTAAACCTTCGCACAATTTTTTCCAGTCTCTACTTTTGGCTTATTTGGACTAGTTTTTGAACCTGGTGGTTTAGTTCGTGGGCTATGTTTAAATATTTGTCGTCGCGTTTTGCTTTATTGAAGGCTGATTTACGTTTTCGTCTAGTCTGTTCTATTTCCTCATTCCACCATGGTACCGTCAGTTTGCCTGTCTTAGATGTTTTGAAGGGGATGGAGGTTTGGGCTGTGTTTATTATATAGTCTGTTAGGTTTTTACAATAGGTTTCTGGATCATTATTTTCTATTTCGTTTAAGTTAGCTTCGTTGCAGATATCTTGGAATTGGTCCCAGTAAGCTTCATTGTAATGGAATTTATTATTTTATTTCTTTCTTGGTTTTCTGTTTGGATTGGTACGTTTGTATTTCCTATGGTTATGTTTATGGGGAAGTGGTCACTACCTAGCGGGACGTCGTGCACTTCCCATTGAGTGCTTTGGGCTAGATCTGCGGTGCTTATGGTTAGGTCGATAGCCGACATTTTTTGGTTTATCTTATCGTACCTCGTGGGTTGGTTGCTATTAAGGAGTACTAGGTCGTTTGTTTCTATCCATTCGGAGATTAATTTGCCATGATTATCTATTTTATCATCTATGCTCCATGTAGGATGGTGAGCCTTAAAGTCTCCTAGGAATATAGTAGATTTATCGCTTATTTTGGAGTAGTTTGTTTAGATCCTCAGGTTGGACTTTTTGTTCCGCCCAGTGGTAAATATTTATGATGTTTATGTGCGGTTATGTAATGTGATTTTAATTCCGTTGGCTTCTAGGTTTGGGGTGTCTATTTTTATTTCTAAGTAATTTATATCTTCCCTGATAAATATGATTAGTCCTCCTGCGGCTCTTCTTGTTTTCGGTTTAGCTCTGTCAGTTCTAACTGAGTTGTAGTTAGGTAGTGTGAATTTGGATTTTTTTGAGAATTTGGTTTCCTGTATACAAGCAATGTGAGGGCCTTTATTTAGTTTAAATTTAGTTTTTAGTTCATGGCCGTGGGAGGTGAGTCCATTGGCGTTCCACTGAAAAATATTTAGTCCTTCCATTATTGGTTTCGGGCGATTGGTGATTTATTTTTTATTTTTTATTTTATTCGGTGAGTTCTTTTAGATGGAGGTTAAAGAGGAAGAAGGGAAGATCGGTTAATTTTAGATTGAAAGCTACTTTGTGGAAGGATTTCATACAAGCTTTTGGTGAGTTTTGACTATGCATGTATGCTAGGAGTAAGGTGAGGTTATTTAGGTTTTGGGTGTTGGCTGGTTGTGAAGTTTGGTTTTATTCAGTTGGAGTAGTGTCTATTGTTTCCTCAGTAGTGGAGAAATCTTCGTCATCGGTTGGATTAGGTTTAGCTGATTGAGTTTCCATGGGGGAGGCATATGATGTGGAGGGTTGTGAAGGTGTTTGCGGGATGGGTGTAGCTGATGTTTTCTTAGTGTTTGTGTTTTGTTGTTGTGCTTGCTTGTGGGAGAGTGTTGTTGTCATATGGGCTGTAGGGTGCTTGGATGAGGGTCGTGTTGTGGTGGCCATTTTGAGGTTTGTTTTGCATTCGGGGGTTAATGTTTTGGCTATGTGAGATGTGGGAGGGTTCGTGGTTGGTTGAGTGGCTGCTTGTGTGTGTGAGGTGGGTGCGGTTTCTCGGTAGGGGTCCCAGACAGAACTGTCGGTTATGGGTGTGGTGTTTGTTTGTGGGGTGGTGTTTGGGTGTGGTGTAGGGAGGAGTGGTTTAGATGAAGGTGTAGCAAATTTTCGTGTTTGGATTTTAGCCGTGTCTATGTTTATGTGTTTGTTGGCCTGCTGGGTGAGTGTGTGTCTGTGTGGGCATTGGTTTGAAAGTGAAGTGTGTTGGGTGGATTTGCAGTGGATGCACCAAGGGTGTGCATGTGCCTGGGCAGTCTGTTTGTGCGCATTTTTTACATTTAGTTTTGGGGTATGTGCATTGGGAAGCAGTGTGGTTGTATTTGAGGCACTTTGAACATTGTTTAACCTGCTTTATATAGGGTTTGACTTCTAAGTTGGTGTGGGCTCCGAAGGATATGTGTTTGGAGGCTTCAGGGAATTTAGCGGGTTTTTTAAAGTTGATTATGACAATGGAGGTTGGGACCGTTTTTCCGTTTCTAGTTGAGGTTATTCTACGCGTGCTGGTGATTAGGGGTTGAGGGTTTTGGTCTTGGTTTATGTTAGCTTCTAGAGAGTATAATTGTAAGTCCTCAGTTGTTTCCCTTGGGTTAACCCTAATTACGCCTCGTGTATATTGTTGCCAATTAGGTGTTTGTTTGATTACCGTGACGTGGAATATTGGAGTTATTTTATTTGCTGCGTTGTAAGATTCTCGGTTAGGAAAGATTATCTGTTATCCTTTGTTGGCTTTTTTAATATTGTAATAATTTATTTTTTGTCTTTTAAACCAAAGTCCTATTTTATCTGCCGAAAGTTCTAGTGAGAGAGTGGTGCCTGAGCCTGCTGAGAAGAAGTAGAGGGCGAAGGTGGTGAGGAAGGCGGCCGGGGAGGGTGTTGGCGATGGAGGTGGAGAGGATGTGTCGAGTTTGCGTTTTTTGGTGTTTTGAGGTGGCGAGTTAGCTGGTTTGGTTGGGGGGGTTGTGTGTCGTGTTTTCGCCATACTCGGTCGGGACGATGTTTTCGAGTGACCTCCCAGAAGTGTTGTGCGCTTCCGCAGGCGTGGGTGAGTAAGGAGCTGGAATGTCTGCGAGTGTGGCGTTGCGGGTGTCAGTCATATTATTTGGGTGTTGTGTTGGAGAGTTGGAGAGCGTGTGTTGTGGTGAGTGGTGTTTTGGGGAGGTGAGTTGGTTTGTTGTTTTAGGAGGCGGAGGAAGTTGCGGTGGTTATTTGTTGTTGGTTTTAGTAGGAGGGTTTGGGAAATGGATTAATTATTGAAGATTTAGTTTGATTCTGGAAGGCTGGGATAAGGTGAGACAAGTGGAAAGCGGGGATTAGGAGATATTTAGTCGAAGGAGTGGATAATATGAGTGGTGGGCGTGGGTGGTGAGTAGGAAAGAGCGTGCGTTGTGTTTAGGAGAAGGGGGATTAGGCGTTTTTTGTTTTTAGGAGATGGGTCAAAGGGTGTGTTTGAGTGGTGGGCGTGGGTAGTGAGTAGAAATGAGTGCGAGCTGTGTTAGGGAGATTGGGGAGGATAAGGCGTTGGTTATTGAGTGTTGTTGTTTTTTAAGGATTTAGGGGTTTTGTGATTAATTCGGTGAGAGTGATTTTAAGAGTATGTGAATAAGGGTAACGTGATAATTACCGATGATGGAGTTTCCTTGGCTGGCTATCAGGCAATGCTCTGTGCTGGCTTGGGAAGTGATGCTCGCTTGGAGTACAAACTGCAACTGATTGTCTGGCCAAGACTCGTTTATTTACAAACCACCGTCCTATAGCTGGAACACTGCTAGGTTCGGCGTTAAACAACAAACAAACAAACGGTGAGAGTGATTTTAAGAGCATGTGAAAAAGGCTGAAAGGATAACGTGATAATTACCGATGATGGAGTTCTCCTTGGCTGGCTATCAGGCAATGCTCTGTGAATGGGGGACATAGTGCAGAATAGATATAGTAGGTGGGGGATTAACAGTAACAACAATAGTATACATGAGTGGGATAACATAGGTAGGTGTGACAACAAAGGGATGGTGCTGTCACAACACGATGGGCAGAACACACATAGCTGGGAGTAAATAGGGTCATGAAGCCAATAAACAGGATAAGTGATTATTGTTTGATGAGTTCATAGTAGGCGGGTGGGATGAAATAGCCTTGATCTCTGTTGATTGATTGCTTGTGGCGGCGAATGTGGACTGCTTCTGTTAGTTTTCTTTTACTGAAATCATGGAGGTTGTTGGCGAGGTTTTGAACGTTGTCCCAGTTGATGATGTGATTGGGACATTTGCTTATATGGTCCGAGATGGCTGATTTACTGTCTGGTTTGATGGTGGAGGTTTAATGCTCTTTGATTCTGGTGTTGATTGGGCGGGAAGATTCACCTACGTAAGATTGTCCACAGTTGCAGTCCTATAACGACCTCTTCATGGTCTAGAATAGTAGAAAATAGACATCACATATGTATAGAATGCTAAGGTTTCAATAGTAAAAAAAAGAAATGTATTAAATCCATGTTGGGATCTCTTGTTCTGAGGTAGTGAGCTGAATGTTACATTTTGTGAATATTGTTTGCCATAAATAGGCGTGGTACTAAAGTTGGAATAGCTATATGCAGATTAATAGTTTGTGACTCAACACACGCAAGATTAAAGTGTTGACTTCTGGTTTCGCTGCAAACACAAGGATGACGATCTGGATGAAGTCTGATGCTCCTCAACCCTCTGAAAGCAGTGGATTCTGTGAGTAGAAACTACAATGCCGTTCCGCATTTTCACATGGATACTTCGCTGAGACACAGTAAACTGACTCTGAGCTGACCAATCCTTGTTTTATCCCTTCAATGCCGACCTTCTACTATCCGGGCTGACCCTCTATCCACTACACCATGGAGGCGGTCCAATGCTCTCGTTGTGTCGCTGTATTAGTGCTGAGTGCGGCAACAACAAGCGCTTTGAAGACCTGCCTGTTTACAGACCAACTGATTACATCCAAATCTTCGCTGATGTTCATGTTAAAGTAATATCTGTCAAGACACCACAAACCACGCAACTTTCAGTACACATATGCCCTAGGTTTGGAATATCATTCACAAGCATACATCTCTATTTATTTATACAAATTCCATGTCTATTAATGGACATCATTCCATTCTCTCTAATGAGGGGACCCACGATGAAGTGATATCATTCCCACCTTCCAAATGAGGGGACGCTCTTTTGAGTGATATCATTCCCATCTACCAAATGAGGGGGCGCTTTGTTAAGTTGATATCTTCCCCATCTCGATGGTCTTAAATGAGTCGACGACAAGGAAATAAATGCTCGGGGAAAATGACTAAACGTAGACAACATTATTTGAACTTTAAATGGCGGACTTGATACTGTAGACGTTTCTGCGTTATTTGACTGTCCTGGTATCTCCTGTTTCGTAGACACGGGTGGCTCAGTCGCCTAAGGGGCCGATATTCGCTGTGCTGAGCTGCGTCCCTTTGGGTTCCCTAGAAACCTGAGTTCAAATCCAAGTTCGTCCCGATTATGTTTCTAGGCTTGTCAGCACTTCGGCCTTCGTCACCTTGGGCTTTCCTCCCACATCAAGCCGACTTCGTGATGTGACTTGCATACTAAACATTTTACTAACAAATAACAGCTTAAAGAATAATTAGCTGCAACCTTTCTTCGCGTATTTGGCTTTAGTCCATCGAGAATCATAAACATGCGGGCCCCACCACAAGTGATCACCTGCACAGCTTGGATGTTGATGAAACATGCATTGTTATCTTTAACAGTCGAAAGCAAACACCTCAATGACACCAAGTTTTGCAAACATTGAATGCAATCTAACGACTTTCCTGCATTTCTAAAAAGTCAAATCAGGTCTTTGGACTGTAACCATCTCTAACAGAGTTGCCACAGCATTTCCCGAACTACACAGCGCAACACTTGGCGGAATTTTGACTTTCAGTGGATAATTTCAGTGACAATCTTGTTCGTGACCAGTTGTATAACACTTCCGTTTCTTTCGGTGTGCGTTGGTATCTGTCCCTAGTGACACTTATTGTTCTCAGTGTTATACGACGGTCCCATGCCTGTAGGGAATAAGCAAATACGCCTCTGTTCGTGCGTGTGCGTGCGTGCTCGCGTGCATGCGTGCGTGTGTGCATGTGCGTGGTCGGGGATACCAGTATCCGATACTAGTTTGTCAGTTAACCCAAATAGACCCATGCTGGGTAACAGATACAGCTACGAAATGTGAAGTTTACGTTACTTTATATTCGTTAATAGTAATATAAGAAATATAGAAATTTAGTGACAACATAAGCACTTAATCTTCAGTACTTATCTTTTACAGTTACAGCAACAGAAACAATAACAGATGTAAGTGAGGACCAGTTTCAGGCTACCGAAGGTAATACTATTGAGATTATGGAATATAGAACATTGGTTTAATTCCCCCTGAACTAGACAATCCATGACCAATAATTCACGTCATAGATTCCACGTAATTGGGATACGACGACATGCATCAACCATGACCTCTCGATGAAGTCGCATCTTACGACAGGCACATGTTGATGGGGGTCTGTATTCTCACCAGTTGCCGCATTGGTTGAATATATATGATGTAACTGGAATACTAAATATTGTGGCGTTAAACCCAACGCACTCACTCACATATCACCTGTTTTAATTTGTTAATTTTAAAATAAAGCTGAAGTTGATATTCAAGAATACTGTCAATCTTATCAAACCTAATCAGTTCTATTTTGAAAGCTTACGTATGCATTTCAATGTCTGTATTCTTCCTGGAGTTCCTGGTGAAGTGCATGTTAGTTTCAGTGAGTGCTTGTGTTGCTTTAATTACTAGCATATGTCTGACGTCTTTCAATTACAGATCTGTCAGAAGCTGAAGGAGGACACCGTCACAGAGGAGGTGTCAGTAAACCGCGGGTAAATCTATGTGTTATGTTTGACAATCCTACAGTTACACTACCACGATAGACAGGTTTACAGTTGTATCATCAGTTAGGCACACCATAGTTAGACCAGGCCTCATGTCCATAAAGTTTGCAATTCTGTTAGGGAGAGATGTCGAAAATGTTAAACTTACACGACAGACAGACATGCGCTTGACGCAAAGACGTGACCTCGAATGTTTGACCCGCGAATTAATGGTCAAACTGAGTAAAAGAAATAATGCTCAAGGTCGCCAGTTACCACATACTACTCCTGTATTTCGTCACTTTACATAAAATACATGGAATCCGTTATGTAAAGACAATTTCAGAATGAACTGATTTCAGCCAAACCAAACAAAATGTCACATAATATCCGTATTACCCATTATACCGGTGGAACTTTCATTTTGCTGAGTAATACCACCTAATAAAAAGAGCACCTTATATTTCATACAAGTCACCCATGTCAAAACTCATTTCTCATTTCAGCAAAAGTCTGAATCAGTTATTCGTCTGAAAAGACAACTGGCAGACCTGAAGCAAGAACTAAAGGCAACCACTGACAGGATGCACAGACTTGAGACTACACACAAGAAAGGTAACCTTGGTGATGTTTGTTTTGTGTGTTGGCGGTTGTATGCCCCCAATTCGCGGCAAATGACCTGCCAATCTATTTAAGATCTCTGAGCCTTTTATCTGACTCCATACATGCCCAAGTGCAACAAACCCTTCTCAGGTCACGTGAGGTGAACCTTCTAATCAGACAAACAGCACGGGTCAGCTGCTGTCATGTTGCTGATGATTGGGCCAGCTGCTGTCATGTTGCTGATGATTGGGTCGGATGCTGTCATGATCGGTTAGGCTGTTGTTATGTTGCTGATGATCGGGTAGGCTGTTGTCATGTTGCTGATAATCGGGTCAGCTGCTGTCATGTTGCTGATGATTGGGTAAACTGCTGTCATGTTGCTGATGATTCGGTAGACTGCTGTCATGTTGCTGATGATTGGGTATACTGCTGGCATTTTGCTGATGATTGGGTAGGCTACTGTCATGTTGCTGATGATCGGGTCATCTACTGTCATGTTGCTGATGATTGGGTAGACTGCTGTCGTGGTGCTGATGATTGGGTATACTGCTGTCATGTTGCTGGTGATCGGGTAGGGTGCTGTCATGTTGCTGATGATCGGGTCATCTACTGTCATGTTGCTGATGATCAGGTAGACTGCTGTCATGTTGCTGATGATTGGGTAGGCTGCTGTCATGTTGCTGATGATTGGGTAGACATACCGTACTTCATGTTTTTCGTCGAACGATGAGGTAAGCTTGAGTCTACACTCAAAATTTCACAATAGCCAATGTTGTGTGTGCTGCTTTGCCTAAACTTGGCTTTGAAAATGTTTGCGTTCTCATAATCATTTGTTGCTAAAACTAGGTTTTTTTTCATATAAACTCTTACAATGTTTCCTTATTGGTCAAATTCACGAAGGACTTAATTTGTCATGATTCGAAACCAAACACCCTCGTTAAGACCCGGAAGAAAATTGGCCTTCTGCAAGCCACGCTTGTTGTAACAGGCGACTAACGGGGTCGGTGGTCATGATCGGTGACTCGGTTGATGCATGTCATCGTATCTCATTTGCGTCGATACATGTGTCAATCACTGGATCATCTGGTCCACATCCGAATATTCATGACCTGCCGTCATATTGCTGAATTATTGCTGAGTGAGGCGTAAAACAACAAACAAGCGAACAAAACCAAAAATGAAACCAGGATAATTTGTCTAGTGCTTGATTTAAGGACCACCATTTTACACCGTCGGGGTGCGCTCCCAACCACGTGACCTGTTCACAAAGCTGTCTCAGCACTAAATTTACGACCAAAATTGAGACAGGTCAGGACCTTTTGGATGACAAACAGTCGATGTTAAACCCTGGGTGTCAATATCTATAGTTGTGTTGGAACAGTTTGGTTACACCTGAACAAAGAAATAATGGATTGTATTGCGTGATCCCTATAAGTATCAACTGACGTCATTCTATTATCATTAGAGGTTCTTGTTTTCTCAGGATAACCTAGTCCCCAGGCTACCGAAGTAGATTGTACAGAATACTCCAGGTACTTTCTATCATTCGTCCCTCAATCCAGGAACAGTAATCAGAAGGCCGCTCTCTCCACGTGGTATTCTATGGAGAGACTCTCTGTCCTGGAGATGTAGTTTGCATGTTAATCCAATCCATATAACACACATTACAATTGTGCGGTCACAGTCACAGGGATCGGACCTGCAACCTTCGTATCTGTAACCAAGGGAGTGAACCACGCGGCGACAGAGTCGCTGATAATCCACAGAATCTCTTCCTCAAGTATGCGAGCAAGATAAATTTTACGGACGTTTCCTAACGTTCATGGAACGCGTGTTGGATACATAAAATTGTTCTGGCAGATTTTTGTTTCGACATTTGAGACAGATGAACCAATGTCCCTCGTCTTTGGTTAGAAATGTAAACTCGGGGTCGGTGATGAAAGGGTGTTCAGTTCAGACATGCTGCTCGTGTTCTTTTTTTCACGCGCTGTCCTCGAATTCGTTTTTAACCGCCAGGCTATTGTTTCCATGTCAGGTATCCCGACGTTTGTTTTTTACCTCGTATTTCTTGTATTTAGACGGCTGATATGACAGTTAAAACACTCCCCGTCGGTTTTGATTGAAAATAAAAAATCCGAAGCTCGGGTTTTTTCTCACTAGCGCTTTTATATATTCAACTATAAATGTTAAGCTTGGCGGAGTTATGCCCCTTTTTCTGTGTGCATGTGTGTTGACCTCTTCGCCGTGTTTTGAGTGAGTGAGTGAGTGAGTAAGTTTAACGTCGCTTTTAACAGTATTCCAGTTATATCACGGCGTGTCAGCTTAATGTGGGAGGAAAGTCCGAAGTAATGCAGGTCTCAGACGTTTACCACTTCGGTGAAACCAACGAGCACGGGTATGGTGCTGACAAACCTAGAAACATAATCGGGGCGAACCGGGATTCGAACCCACAATGATAGGTTTCTGGCGTGCCCAAGGGACGCAACCCTGCACAGCGAATCGCGGCGCCTTAGACGACTGGGCCACCCGTGCCCCCATCGACGTATTTTGACTTCATAGTGGAAAATATGTTACTGCCACATTCAACAGGTGTTGAATGTGTCACGTTCTACGTAACCACACAATTGTAATGAACGTGTTGTAATGTTGTTCAGATATAAGGCAGTATATTGTTAGCTCTCAGTGTGCATAAAGCAGTCCAATCAAACCTGTCGTTGCACGGTACTTTATCTATGTACGAATAAAAATGGCTACATTTTAGAGTTTTCTTCGTTGCAAAACAGACAACATTTACTTTTCATTTAGAACTTTCTGATTTTCAAACCAGTCTTCAATTTTACACCACCGGGTAGACAATTCAACACTATACATCTCCGTCAAATTGCAAAGTCAAGCAGAGCCAGAGACGCGCGACAGCAATTCTCGTACACCACTCATTCATCAGTACTCATAAAAATGTGTGTCTGACAATTAACTCGGCAACCAGGGTTCTAGCGGTAATGTAATGAATGACGCTTCCAAGCATTGAGTCAGAGACCTCGCGAGATCCGAGCTTATGCAACTCGCCCCATGTGAATGCCGAATAGTATACAACTTCAGTTCGTGCAACTAATCGCATACACCTAGGTGTACCAAAATTGAAGAAAACGATTCGGCAGTATGGGTTCTGGCAACAAACCCGAGTCTCGAACCTTAAAAGATGTCTTCACGTGTATTTAAACTACCTCGTACATGAGTTGAGAAACTTAATATTTGTTTTACTTCAACGGACTGGGTTTTTTCGAAAATTTGTGGCGTAATATATTTCCATATTTCAGTCTATTTCCTTGAATAATAATATTCTGCAACTGTTTACCAGTGAGAGGCGACTAAGTGCATTGGTCAATAGCCTATCAACCTGTGCCGGTCGTGGGAGGCGACTGAGTGCATTGGTCAATAGCCTACCTGTGCCAGTCGTGAGAGACCACTAAGAGCATTAGTCAATAGCCTATCAACCTGTGCCAGTCGTGAGAGGCGACTAAGTGCATTGGGCAACAGCCTACCTGTGCTGGTCGTGAGAGGCGACTTAGTGCATTGGTCAACAGCCTATCAACCTGTGCCGGTCGCGAGAGGCGACTAAGTGCATTGGTCAACAGCCTATCAACCTGTGCCGGTCGTGAGAGGCGACTTAATGCATTGGTCAACATCCTATCAACCTGTGCCGGTCGCGAGAGGCGACTAAGTGCATTGGTCAATAGCCTAACTGTGCCGGTCGTGAGAGGCGACTTAGTGCATTGGTCAACAGCCTATCAACCTGTGCCGGTCGCGAGAGGCGACTAAGTGCATTGGACAATAGCCTATCAACCTGTGCCGGTCGTGAGAGGCGACAAAGTGCATTGGTCAACAGCCTATCAACCTGTGCCGGTCGTGAGAGGCGACTAAGTGCATTGGTCAACAGCCTACCTGTGCCGGTCGTGAGAGGCGACTAAGTCAACAGCCTATCAACCTGTGCCGGTCGTGAGAGGCGACTAAGGCGAAATTTCTTGGTTTACGGATTTCAAACTCATTTCAAAAGTGAGGTAGGCCAATTTGGAAAAAAAAGCCTCTCACATTTTTTTTACTTGAATTTTGTCCTAAAATGTTAGGTAGGTATGAAAAAAAATATCCTGGAGTAACGAAAGTAAAATAACTCAATTTTTCAAAAACATTTTATTATATCCCTGGCACTGAGCTTGTGCACAAATGGCAATATAACAATATTTATGTCATGGGTGGAAATGCATGAAAGCTTTTTTGGCAGCAGTGGGCGACGTTTTACTCTTTCAACACCAGCCAATCAGAAGATTACTGCTGTGACACCAAGTTCCCAGATAGTTTTGTGTGATAGATGCAGCCAACGTTTATCAAGGAAATTATCTGCTTGTGAAACATCTTTGCTACTACATGTTTGACCATACACTATTTGAAAGGTCTAATTAATCCTATTGTTCATAAATATGAAAGTTATGTGTATTACATTATTTAAATAATTCATTAACAACTTAATAAAGTTTGTTTTCAATAAAAATAATGAGCTAAAACATTCATAACGTCCAGATTAAGGACTAATGAAACGAAAATTAAAGGATTTTCGGCAAATATAAGACTTCATAAAATCCACTTACCTATTTCGTTGTTTTTTTCATTTGTTTACGTAGTCGGAAACATTATTTTAAAAAGAATTACAAATAATATCTGTCATCACCCATTTCCCGATGATAGTGGCTCTCCGCTCAATAACATGAGGAAATACCTCCGTTTTCAACGCTTCGTGTGAACAACACATACGTCGAAGGCTGCCATGTCAGTATACATAAAAAAAGCTTATATTGTTTCACCGACATAATCTGCTACAAGGTTCGTGATTAGTCAAATTTGAGCACGTGACCTAAGGCAGCCAATCAAATTACAGCAACGGTAATTTTCAGACTTTGGCGAAAGGTTTGGGTTAAACCTTGTTATTCTGAAAGTTTTAGCATGAAATCGCGATCAAT